TGAAATTTAATTTAGTCATGACTAATTTTTAATGTGTAGCTTAGTGAAAATAAGTATAATTAGGTCTGTTGGACACATCCCTATATTTGATACCAGAAGCTACATCCTGATGAAAATTGCAAGATGTAAAACAGTGACTGTGGAGATTCCATCCTTCCCTTCGTACTGGCTCTAGGTATATATGCTGTGGAATATGCAGAAACAAATGCCTACATTTTCTTTCCATACATAAATCTGTTAATCTCCTTCCTTTGATTTTGGCAGAAAAACTGTTTGAGAATGATTAGATAGATCTTTTCTTCCTCATTAACTTTATAGCACATTTACCACTGCACATATCAGAAGGCTTATACCCAATCCTGTATTCATACACATTCATTCTAGTGAAACAGGCATTTAAATAGTCAGAATTTTGTACTTGTTCCAAGCATTTCAAATATACATAGGTGAAGTTCATCATAATCTATTACAGCATTTTAAAATGTCAACAGCAGCTATGGAAGGAAAGCTGTAGGAGGCCATCTGTTGTACCTGGACAGAAGTAGGGGGCAATCTGTGCTCCAGAGCTGCCTCATGGCTGCTGAGGGGTTGGGGGTTTTTTTTGTCCTTGAAGTCCCCTTTCACCATTATTGCTGAAAACTGGTGAATACAGTCTATATATCCATTTTTGAACATGGTGGGTGGGATGTATTTTTTTTAAAAGATAGTAACATGTGGTTTCTACTCACGACTCAGTTACAGTAGTAATTAACGCACCCTTGGAAGACTTGAAAGACCAGGTTAGGGATAGATCGTCATGGAGAAAATCTACATGTGGTCGTTAGGAGTCGAAACCGACTGAGTGGCACAAAATCAATCAACGTACTCACGAAAAAATAAGTGCCTACTATTTTGATTAATCACATTTTCAAAGTTTTAAAGGGTTTTTTTGAAGACCTATTCTCCCCAATGTAATATCGTACTGAATATCGCCATGTAAACATTTATAGATTTTCGGGGGGGGGGCGGTTACTGGGAATACAGCAGGCCAACAGCTGACTTAATCCTTCGACTATTAGCTCCTCGAGTTGCCTCAGAGGTAGATTTTGCTCTCTTCCGAGAGGCTTCCTCTTGGGAAAGGGACACAGCCCCAGTCAGTTGCTCTTTTTACAAACATCCACAGAACCAGAGTTACATCTTCGGGCTTTTTACCTTCATCTTCCCAAGCTTCAACCCACTGCATTTGCCACAACCCAATCAAGGCCAGCCAAGCCCACATCCCAGCGGTTCCTCAGCGAGAGCCCGAAGCTTCGCCCCCGCCTTTCTGCCCGGCGGACCGCGTCGGCGCAGCGGCCGAGAGGAAGAAATTCTGCGCATGCTCCTGCCTCGGGCATTTCTGCAAAAGTGGGAAGCTGCGCGTAGACTGCCGCTCGACGAGCGTGTGCAAACCTTGCTGGTTTCCCCGCTTTCCTCTGCAATACCGTCTCTCGCGTTCTTTCAACAATCCCAGCGTGATGCTTGTTATTCTCTACTTGAAAAAGCTCCGGTCGCTTTCCATCCTTAAGGAGTAAAATGCCCCGTATTCCGTTCATAAACCATCCAATTGTCAGAATTCTCGACACTTCTCACAAGCTCTGTTCTGCATGTCAAGGATCGTGTCTACATTCCTCTTACGCTTTTTCTTTTCAGATGTACCCTATCCCCGCCCGTGGTTAGAATCGTTGTCTTAGGATTTTATTTTTTCTTTACTCAAATTGAGTCTGCCTATGGACGCTAATGTAAAATTTTAAAGGTGTTGCCTATCACACCCGAAAAAGCACCGGTCTCTGTTTTGCTCCATGCTCTCTCACAAGTTTCTCTGACGGGGCTTCCCAATTTCTAGCAAAATAGATAATTTCCACAATATGGAAACTGGCCCTGGCGTGTCTTGCTTGCTTGCTTGCTTTCGAGTAGTAACAGCGAAGCCCAAATAAGTTCTGACTTTTTGCTTCTCTAGTTGTAATAGGAGCACTAAAATAGGCGGCATTTTTTAAAATTAATTTTTAAATTAAGTAAAGAAGTTTGCAAAAGTCACGAAACTGAATGTTTAGGAATCGTTGTAATCAACCTTACGAACCCAACAGCACATTTTAAAAATTCTAATATGGGGTATGATTGAGAAAACTGGTGGTTCTGCTCAGAATGTGTAGTTTAGTTTCAATGTGAAATCATTAATATTTTTATTAGCCCATACTTTGCTTTCAGACTGCTAGCCATAAAATCAATTAGCTTTAAAGAAAATATATTAACAATAATTAACAAAGACTGAACCATAACAATAATAATAACTACACATATACTTCTCCCTAGAAAAAAAGTGTTCTGATCATAACAAATCAAGGATCTCTGCACATTTTGTTTTTTTAGACTGACATTTTCATATTGAACATAATAAAGACACATATCAATTCTTTGTGTGATACAGCAATCTGTTATTTTTATGCAAATTACCAGGAACATCTGTCTTTATTTTCCAGGCAATTTAATAGATTAATAACAGCCTTGATTCTATATTTTTTCTCGGAATATTCTGTAGAATATCTAATTATTTTCTACATTTATATACCACTGTTTTACCAAAATATTCAAGGCAGTTTATAATTTATAATTATGGTTTACAATCCAACAAGAGGCATGAAACAAACAAAAAGGAATAGAACAAAGACAAAAATAAGCAAATTCAGATACTGAAATTTCAATAGCTTGAACTCATAGAAACATAGTGTTGGGAGGTACAGTTCAGGCCACTGAATCCAGCCCCCTACTCTATGTAAGAATCCAAATATAAATAAAAACATCCATGAAGGCAACTGTTATGCTTGAACATACCCAAGTGACCAGGAGACCATTGTCTCTCTGGTTCCACTGTCAAATTGCGCTTAGCACTTGGAAGTTTTTTCTAACATTTAATTAGAATCTGCCTTCTCAGAACATGAATCTATTATTCTGTTTCCTGCACCCTGAGATCATAGAGAACAGGACTTGGTCTTCTTCTGTGTGATGTCCTTTCAGGTATTTGAAGAATGCCATTATACCAACCCTCCCACAATCTTCTCATCCCCAGATTTTCTATTATTCTTTTAATTTCTAGTCTGCTACTCATTTTCGTTGTCTTTCTCTGAGCCTGTTCCAATTTATCGGAATGTTTCTTAAATTGTGGTGCCTAAATCCAGACACAATACTCAAGGTGAGAGCTTCACTTCAATACAGGGTGTGAAATTATTCCTTCCTTTGATTCCTACATTTCATTATACTATAATGGGGTTTATTTGATTTTTGTTAATGCATTATGGGGTTCAACCACTGTGGTTTATAAACCTTGGTTTATTAAGAGAAACCAAGTGAAAGTGAAGTGATTGCATATAGTAATAAAATTATGAAGAATTATGGCTTACCTGGGAATGAATAGTGCGTTGATGCTTGCTGGTTCATCCTGTCAGAAAACATTCCAAGTAGATAGGGGAATTTAGACAAAAAACTTGCTTATTCTATTATATTATAATGATAGGTGAACCAGTGAGTTGACTTCCATTGGTCCTGGTTTGTTTGGAAAGGATCAAGCCAGGTTTCTAGGCTTCATGTAACACTAGATAAACCACAAAAAAATCAGTCAGGGTTTCTTTACCTGTTCATACTGGCAGGGGGATCTAAGCAAGGAACAACTGAATAAACAAAACTAAATTTCAGTTCTCATATCCTCTACATGGACATGTCCATGTAGTTTTCTTGGCAATAATACGGAGATGGTTTGCCATCACTTTTTAAACTTCTCAGTCTTGTCTCCAGGCCTTTTATTTTCCTGTGTTCTCCCATTCAACTATAGATCAGGTTGATCCTGCTTAGCTTTTTGAGATCTGCCAACGTTGGTTAGATAGTTTTGAGTAAGCATTTTAAATAGCACATTAAAGTTTGCTACTTATTTTTAGAGAAATCAAAATACAACTGTAGCTCAGGCAGTAGCAATTGAACTCACTGGTGAAATTAGAACTTTTAATCACGGTTTAACATCCCATGATGTCTGGTTTGTTCATGACATTAAACAATAATGGATCTATTCATGCACCACATTATGGTTTAATATTAAGCACAAAATAGCACCTGTTTCACTAACATAGGCATGGTATGAAAGAGTTCCATGGCTAAATTTTATTAGCCTTGCAACTTTTAATGTACACACCCTTCTAAATATATAATGTTCCCTTGTTCCCAGCTATCTTTCTTTTGCTGTGGGTGGGAAGTAATAATTCCAAATTAATCTCAGGCATAGCTAGTATTAACAACTACAATTCGTTAGTAGCTGATAGAAATCATGAATATGCAGATAAGGTTAGTTAAGAAAACTGATAGAAATGTAAGTCTACCTTATCTGGGCTACAAATCTGTATGACTACTAAATAACAGCAAAGAGAAAAAAATTCTATTTCTTTGCTGCCATGTAGTGGCTGTCTGGATTTTTGCAGCCCAGGTATTGTAGCTTTATAAATATCAAACAAATTCAGAATTAAGATGAAGAAAGTTGTGTGTGCAGTGACAAAGATATTGGAATTATTTAATACCCATATCAAGAACAACTTCAATTACATATTCACATATAATCTTAACACTTCACTGTACTTCAGAGAGTAGAGAAAAACACTAAATAATAGAGTGCAATATCTTCTTCCAGATGCTTGGATTACACTGCTATACATGTTCAGAATAATATGTTATACATTATAAAACCCAATGCTCATCTTAAAAGAGACCAAGAAATATTAGATGAAACAAAACATTCTTTACCAAGGACTAACATTCTGGAACTGAAGTGGATATACACTGTATACATCCAGGAGAACATTCTGCTTGTCAAGGATGAACTCCAGCTTGATCCATACATTTTATGCATTTAAACCACAACACCTTTAGATACGACTCTTGAAGACTAAAATATTTCAGTGGAAGCTGGTGTGCACTAAACTACCATATCTGAGCTGCAAAAATTCCAATAACCACGAAGAGCAATTTAGAGTTTGTTGTACTTCTGTGCTACCCATGTAGTAGTTATTAATATATTTGCAGCCCAGATATGGTATTCTAATTGCACATACTGTACATATCATCATTCTGTATTAAAAAATGAATCAGTTTTTTATTGGGTCAACTTCACGTTCTGGTGATGGTAAGAACAATTGGTTACCATCTTAACTTATCCTTAGTAATAACACAAAGTCTTCCAAAGACATTGTAGTAATCTCTTTAATCCCATGCATCCTATTTTTCTATTGTCTTCCCTAAAACCTGCTGAACATAATATATTTTTTATAGTATCTCATTCACTCCCATCATATTCTTCATGAACTTACCTAAGTGTGTAATTGCCTTCCTCCCTACTTTACTTCTCCAATGCACTGTCCATCTTTATTCTTGACCCCCCAAAAAGTAAACTAGCTGATAGGATTGTGCAATACTTCATATTTGATTCCAAAATAGTGCTCCAGAACTCATGGGAACATCAATATAACAGCCCTTTGTAAGTCTTTAAAGCAACAGCTGCCTTTTCTCTTAATCACGTGGCTGCCCACTCCAACTGCTGCATGATCCTAGATAAACATGTAGCTGCTTTTAAAACTTGTAGACTGGTACTATGTCTGTGCCCCACAAACTCCGAAGTAGTTTTTGGAATTTAATTCCAAGTCTTGCACAGCTATACTATCTACCATCTTCACTTCATCATCAATTGTACGTTTATTAAAGAACTAATCATTGCACTCATTTGTAAGGGGTATGAAAGTTATAAAACACAAAGCAATTAGATATGTCAGCTAGAGACTGTGATATCAGAATTGCATTTAGAGTACCCATTCAAATAAGAGTTTGCCCTTCCAATTATTCCTGCTATAAACCCATAACTTTTTTTTTCCAAAAAAAGACAGGAAACACACAAACACACAAACCCCTCATAATGATATATTCCTTAAATAGGAGAATAAATCATGGTCATGTTTAAACACCAGCCTATCTTCTACAGAGATAGACACCACCAGTTGTTAAAATGATAAAGGAAGCTCTTTCTAACACTGTGATTTCCCCCCTAGATCCTGGATTTGGCATGCTTTCAGTTAGGTCTATCAGTATTGGTTAAAAATTAGTGACTTTATTTCCTATTGACTTATGGGCTTATGGACAGAATGCAGTCTTTATCATTTCTAGAAGAAAATCTTCAAAACAACCAAAGGATGACCTCATCCCTCAGTGTGAATCACCCAACTGTGAGGTACAAGGCAGAAGCTGCGCAACAGAAAATATCAGCTCTATATAAATAGATAATTCAGAAAAGAAGAAAACATCTTCTGATACAACGCATCACAGAAAAAATTCCAGTCGCTATTAAACTCATCAAGATAAAGCAGAACTAGGCTAATTTCAAGTAGTAATTGAGAAATTGCAACAAACATTATGGAAACTTTTAGTTATTGTTAACAATATATTAATATATAGAATAACCAACTAAAGCTTGAGTTCAGTATTGAACAAACCTCAGCTGATAACCTAATAGAAAATGGAACTACTACAT